AAGAGCTGGTCCGTCGGACTGTGGCTGTAAAATAATCCCCATTCAACATCTGGATTTGAGCTATGATTCAGGTTCGCAGGACTCACAAATGTAATTCGACACACAGAAAAAAAAGAAACGGCGGGCGTCGCCACGAAAACATGGATCTCCGGTGAGTCCTAAAGGGAAAAGTAAAAAATATCAGAAAGAAATAGCATCAAAAGAGAATTTTTAGGAGCGAAGCTCCTTAAGGCGTGGGCTGTGCGTCCCCTGTATGTAGCCACCTGTCGTTCAGTTCTAAGTATTACGCTAGCCACCGCCCGATCTAAAGGGTACAGCCATATCCATCCGTCCATCCGTCCATCCATCCGTCCGTCCGTCCGTCCATCCATCCATCCATCCATCCATCCATCCATCCATCCATCCATCCGTCCATCCATCCGTCCGTCCGTCCGTCCGTCCGTCCGTCCGTCCGTCCGTCCGTCTGTCCATTCATCCGTCCATCCATCCGTCCGTCCGTCCATCCATCCGTCCATCCGTCCGTCCACCCGTCCGTCCGTCCGTCCGTCCGTCCAAAACATGCAAGATGTTATAAACTAGACGGCGGTACGTGTAGTTGATTATGAAAGATGCGAGGTGTTATAAAATAGGAATGATGCCACATATGGCGCGTGTCATCGTTCGATATAGTGCGGCGACGTACGCTAGCGTTGCAATAAAATCGAGTGGGCAAAATGTACGGAGGATTCATGGTTTACCAGGTTTACCTCCGGAGCTTCGCTCACTCATCATCATTCACTTCGTGGATATGGCGGCATTTTTTGAAAAGTAGCTTATTGCAGAAGGCAGTGAATGCTGCCGGCATATCCTGCCGGCAGCATTCACTGCCTTCTGCAATAAGCTACTTTTCACTGCCTTCACAACCGGAATGCTGCCGGATTAAGAATCTTGCAGTGGAATTGCCGGTCAATTTTTTCCGCAGCTACTGATTTATTTTGCCTTTGTAAACAGCATTCCCCAGATGTTATAGTGTTGCAAGAATCTTTGCTTTCTAAAGAAAAAAACCTTTCATCTTAAAAACTACCGAACATTTCGTTTAGACGGCCCCTCTCGAGGGGGTGGGTTAGCAGTGTTTATTTCTTCAAAAATTGCTTGTCTGGATAGATCGGGTCTTCGAAAATACAATTTAAGGTTTCGAAGCTTCCCAGACACTCACCGCGTAGCAGGATGTACGGACAAGCAGAAACGTTGCACGCATAAAGTACCGCTGAACCATCGGAAAAGTTGATGACGGCAAACGGGAGGACGATGGTTCGGTGGTGCACACTAGCTATAGTTGGTTGGAACAGGAGCGTCGAGTTACGGGCAGCAGGGGAAAACACAGGCACTAGGACGGCGGACAACGGCGCGATGCGGACGTCAGCTGCGGCAAACACTTTCGAGGGACTGTGGTGGTCGATATCAAGGCACGGATTCGTCTACGTGAGTTCAGCACGAGCGCAGTCGACGAGGGCCTGATGGGTAGAAAGGAAATCCCATCCTAGTATGACGTCGTAAGATGAACGTGGGAGAACAACAAAGTTGACAGCGTACCAAACATCTTGAATAAGAACGCGTGCTGTGCACTAAGCTGTCGGCGCGATGAAATGGGAGGTGGCTGTGCGCAGAGTAAGATTCATAAGTGGCTCAAATCGCGACACAGTTTTTCACTAATTACAGAAACGACGGCGCCCGTGTCGACAAGTGCACGTACAGCAACACCTTCTACTAGCACATCAATTTCGTTGGGCGGACAAAGATGAGGTCTTGGAGAGTTCGACGACGACGCAGTTCTTGCCTCCGAATCTGCGGCTGTCAGTTCTCCTCTCGAGCGGGGCTCGTGCGCCGAAGCATCGGGGAGACAGATCGGTGACGGGGTGGTAATGACCGGCGAGAATCGACAGGGCGTCGTGGGGACAATGAGTCGGTGAAAGGAGAAGATGGTCGCTGGGGATTCTGGGCAGCCTGGTAATTTTCAGAATTCCCATGGTCTGGAGGCTGGAAGTTGCGACGGCGACAGTAGCGTGCTATATGTCCCACGAAACCGCATGCGAAACAGATGGGTCGATTATCCAAGGTGCGCCATGGGTTAACGACAGAAGGTGCAGGTGGCGAAACGGGACGGGGTGCCGTGTATGTAGGCAGCGTCGTAGGGTAGGGGGACCCGGTGCCCCGGTATGCGCCAGAGACAGGTGGGGATGGGGGTCTAGCAACGACGGCAGCGTAGGTCAACGGCGTAGGGACGGGTGGCGATGGAGGCAATGCCTGCGTGACCTGTGTCTCAATGACCTGGCGTAGAGATGGGTCTAACGAGGTCACTGGCGCGGATGCTTCGGCCACAAGAGAAAGCTGCCGCGCCACTTCTTCACGAATGAATTGTTTTATGTGGGGCAGTAAGACGGTTTGATCAGCAGCGACGTCGTGCACGAGGGCGGAAACTTCAGCCGTATATTCAGCGGCCCTGCGTCGAGACACGCTGCTTACGCAACTCGTCGTACTCCTGACAGAGCTGGACAACATCGGTGACGGTCAGTGTATTCCTAGCGACGAGCATCTGGAAGGTATCGTCGTCAACTCCTTTGATGTTGTGCTTGATTTTGTCGCGTTCGGTTAGAGATTCATCGACGCGCTTGCAAAGAGAAAAGACATCTTCAATGTAACTTGTAAAGGTCTCGTCCCTGCGCTGGACTCGACTACGGAGACGCTGTTCCGCGTGAAGCCGGCGCACGGCGGGACGACCGAAGACCGCGGCGATGGTGGTCTTGAATGCGGACCAGTTGGTCATTTCGCCTTCATGGTTCTTGAACCAGAGGCTGGCCACATCAGCGAGGTAAAAGCGCACGTTTGTGAGCTGGTCGCAGGCGTTCAACTTCTTGGAAGCGCTTACAATTTCGTACTCGACGAGCCAGTCCTCGACGTCTTGTTCGTCGTTGCCGCGAAAAATTGGTGGGTCGCGTTGCTTAGGCACGCCAGTACAGTCGACTATCGTTGGTAAGGCAGCTTGAGAAGGGCCAGGAGCAGTCATGGTGAACGGTGAGGGTAGCGTCCGATTGCGAAGTTCCAGGTTGATGGGAACCCCGGCTCCTCCACCACTTAAAATCGAGGTGTTGTACGTCGAGAAAGCTTCAGACGCAGCTTGGCAAAATATGCTTTATCAGGCAGGTCTGTCTAATGGCGAGCGGCGTGAGCGAGCTACTACTGCAGCCACCGATCATCATCGTCTTCTTCATTACCAGCAGAGCGTCCGTTATACAGATTCATTACATGATTTAGTCACATGGTCCTGTATTATGAGCTGCGCGTAGGCGTGACACTTTCTGTCGTGCACCTTGCGTTAGTTATCTGGCAATTATTCGACTTGTTCTTTTGGAGACCTCTTCTGGCCAACCGAAACGAGCATCGCCTTGTGGTTGGTGAAATGACAACTGCAGTACTTCATTTCTTTAACAATGTCGTGAGAATGAAAAGCTAAATCTATGCAAGTCTTCGACTTTGTTGAAATGGCATTTCCTTGGAGGGGCATAAAGAGTCTCACAATGCCTCACAGATGGCAGCACATTATCTAGCGTTTGCTGTTTGCTTGATAAACGCCTCTGGAAAGGCATGGTATGTTTTCCGCTTGATGGACATAGTTCTCGGTTTTTATAGCTGTTTCAAAGTTTCTGTGTGTTTTAGCGGCGATGGCCTTACTATCCCGACCTTTTTTTGACGTAGTTTGATGGCCTCTTGATTGATTGATTGATTGATTGATTGATTGATTGATTGATTGATCTGTGGGGTTTAGGTCCCAAACCACCATATGATTATGAGAGACGCCGTAGTTGAGGGCTCCGGAAATTTTGACCACCTGGGGTTCTTTAACGTGCACCCGAATCTGAGCACACGGGCCTACAACATTTTCGCCTCCATTGGAAAAGCAGCCGCCACAGCCGGGACTTGATCCCGTGACCTGCGGGTCAGCAGCCGAGTACCTTAGCCACTAGACCACCGCGGTGGGGCACGGGAGCATAATGAGGGAATTTTTTTCCAGTTTTTTTTTTCATCCGGCACGCACCGGAGAAAAAACGAATGTATTTGCTCCGGTACAAACCGGCTTGAGTGAGGTCACTGGAGAAAAGCGGGAGCATCATTCCCCGATTCCTCCCTGCTGGGTATATTTTTGTTTAGAGTGTAGTGGTATAGCGCCATCTAGGCCATCCTTGCTCAATTGCAGTTTGTATATGAGAGAGCGCCATCTATTATACTGTTTGGGAGATACTGCTGGCCACGCCTGACGTGGGACAAGGTTACACTAAGAGGAGCTTTTGTTCTGAAAGACGATAGTTCTCTGCCGGTCTTCTTTTGTGCAGAGTGTCGCATTTTTAGAAACAATAGGGTTTTTAGAATTACATATTCACGTAGTTTCCAGTAAAGGGACGCATCGCCTGATACTCACGTGTTGATGTTGCGCATCTGAAATGCTCGATACAAGCTTTTTGATCGACAGTGTTCACAAGTGTGAACGAAATCATGGGGATTCAACGCTGTTGAAAATAGAAGACGACGACAATCACCTACTAGGTGTTCCAACCATCATTACGATCAGAGTGGCATTACAAAGGCGGAAGAATGCAGCCATGCCGCCGGCCTCAAAGAAAAGGCTGTTAACCAAAAAAAACAAAATAAAAGGCCACAACACCGTAAAAACACTGAAATTCGACGACTCATCAATCACCGATTATGACATAAATAAAAAGCTAAAGAACAAAATAGAAGGCAATGGCACCATAGCAATGGCACAAAGCCACAAAGCCAACAAGCGGCGGCTAAACGCCAGAAGCGTTGTCTACGAGAGCTGAAGACTCGCATATATGCGCGGGTGGGCAATGATACGGGTGATTGGTGGCAACATCAAACGATCCCCAGCGCTTCGCCCACTCGTCATGATTCGCTTCGTGGAGATGTGTCGATATATATTTGTTGTTAAGTGGAATCCCTCTTACCTTCTTCTAGAACACCGTCTAAATCTCCGAGGTCCTCGCATTCCACCACAAACAAGTTTTCGGCGTAGAAACCCTTGTCCTTCGACCAGCGAACGGGAAGTGTCCTGTGCGATGGGTTTAGAAGGTCGAGCACCTGCAAATGAGAACGGAGCATTGCTAAACAGCTGCACACGGGGAGCCTATTTTATCATGTTTTCCGGAATTGACGCTTTCAGTCGTAGGTATTCTGCAAATACAAATGTACTTTGCGTTGAAAACCTACGCTGAGACCAGAAGGATGTATTGTCGTCAAGCGCATCCAGATATTAAAACGAACGCTTACGCTATATGCGCTATAACATGCTATACTAGGCGAAACTTTTCTTGGTATTGGAGCGAAGGCTACAGAGCCAAATTGCGGGCATCCTACCGCCAGTGAATGTATTTCCACAATAGTGCCCGTATTTTCATCGTGAAATATAAAAGTTACGTCTTTATCACCGACGTGGAACTATCTGAAACAGGAAGCAGCTCACACCTTTAAGATAGTCGTATTTCTTTTACCTTAGTCGTTGTGACTTCGTGTATCTGAATAGAGAAGGTCTCGCCTTTTTTACCTGTAACTCAAATTTTAGGTAGAGTCTGCGTCTACTTGGAATGACTATGGTGCACGCTGGTGAATTTCCACGGCGTTACGAGAGGCGCGTAAAATCGGACTATACTTCGCGTAGGGCTACATGTGCAGAAAATCTGCCAACGTAGCTTTCCTTTCCCTGTCAAGAAAAGTTGTCGCCAAGTAGAGAGGTGATGTCTTCATGAAGATGGAGCACGGCACGCACAACGGGAAAGCCAAGTACTCTTCGTCGTCTTCTGTACGCAGAATGTTTCACCCGTGATGCTCTAGCTACGTAGCATTACCCGTCGGCTGTAAAAGCGCCGTCTCGGTGCACTTTACACGTGGTCTTTAGAAGGAATGCGGTATGGTTTCAACTTACTGACGTGGACTATGTCAGTGGGGTGCTTGCAAACAGGTTAGTCTCGGAGGCCAGAATTATCTCATTAGTAACGTCCATTACCCATCATATTGTCACATTCCTTTCCTTAAGTATTGTTATCATCCCGTTACACTACGTTCAGCGCAAACAGCGCCTGTGATGTTCAAAAAGCTTCGAGGCTTTAGTAGATCATTCCGTTGAAATTACGCCCACCACATGAACATTACACATTATTCTGGAAGCTACGTCGCCGACAGTGATAACGCTAGAACATTCGATGGCAAGTGTATAAATGCCGACGCGCTTCGACGCTTGTCAGCTGATCGACGGCCGACGCTCCGTTCACTGCTTCAGTGCAAAACTGCTACTACAATCAGACTTTCCGTTTACCGGGCACAGGTTCGCCCGAATAAACAGTTTGATCTCAACATTAAAAGTCTCCTGTCTTCGGCCACGTCCCGAACCGTGACAATATTGCAACAAATGCAACAGCTTCACAACAAAGATGTTCTATTTACATTGTTTATTAAAGACTAATTTGTGCCCAAAGTGAATGACGCACAGCAGTCGAGAAGAAACCAAGGTCGGTAGTCCTAGCGAGCCTCTGCCTCGAACACTCGTGTTTTCTTGACGCGCGTTGGACGCTCGGTGGAATCTCGTGCGCATGCCGGGCCGGCTCGTGCATTAGGGCTGATTCATCGCTCGTAGTTGAACCGTCAGCGTTTCTCATCGTTCACGACGACCGCGTTTTGTGGAGCATGGGCGGTTTCCTGTTGCATTATCCCCCCTCTAAAGAGGCATCGCCCCGGTGTGTGCGATAAGGCTGTATGCAGCGTTCATGTCGTGGACGGTTTTGAAGGAATGAACTAGTTTACAGCAAGCGAATGGGGTGGCTGGTCTTGTATCACTCGTAGTATGGTTTCATGTGCACAATGTGTACACGCTCGGTAGCGTTGCGTCGTCCGGAATGTCCGTGTCCTGCATGGTTGACTTCATAAACTTGGTCACTGAGTCCCTGTACCATCTCACAAGGACCAACATATCAGCAAATGAGTTTTAAATGCGAAGAATTTCTTTGGGTACTTCGGCGACTGTGAGCGTATCTATCTATCTATCTATCTATCTATCTATCTATCTATCTATCTATCTATCTATCTATCTATCTATCTATCTATCTATCTATCTATCTATCTATCTATCTATCTATCTATCTATCTATCTATCTATCTATCTATCTATCTATCTATCTATCTAATCTATCTATCTATCTATCTATCTATCTATCTATCTATCTATCTATCTATCTATCTATCTATCTATCTATCTATCTATCTATCTAGCCGCCTGTGACTCAGGTTTCCTATTCGTTTCAATAATGATATAAATACCAAAATTGGTACGGCACTACAAGAATGTATGACGAGCATAACTGACTAGTCATACCATGAAAATCATCACATGCATGACATGAATGTCATGATGTAGATTTAATGGTCTTGATGCTCTTGCGGTGGTTACGTTCACATGACATGTTGCAAAGCATGTATGGTATGACATGACTGAACGGCGAAAGCAAGCAACAGACCCTAACATGAAAATCATGTCATGTGTGTCATGTAAGATGACTACGCTCTTAAAAAAAGTTAGTAAAAACGTAGCAACTGCAAGCGATTAGGTAGTAACTGCCGTGGTTACTACCTTTATTGGACCATTATTACCCTTTTGATACCTGTTTACTGCTTACGTTAGTGAACAGTTACTAGCTGCAACCATTACTAACTTTTTGCGACCTGTTTACTACCTACGTTAGTAAACAGATAGTAACTGGAATTAGAGAGGTAGTAACTGCAGTCGTTACTACCTTTCTTGCCCCGTTACTACCTTTTTGCTACCCAGCTGTTGAATATTTAATGCAAAGATAGTGTGTGATTCCGATTCTGATCATTTATCAGAGGAATCGTCTCGACGTGTTATCACTAAATGTAAAAATGACGCAGGCGATATTCATTCATCAAGAAAATACATTTTGTTTTAAGTTACGCAACTGAGATGTGTAAACGTGATTCTAATATTGTCGAAACGGAGTACAAATTAACGAACCATAAACAAGTGCTACACGCGTTGTAGTAGACAATTACAACTAACTTAATAAATTACCGCATTTATTAACAAGACTGGCGGATCAAAATAACCAGACGGTCACAATTAGCCCCGAGGATGGTCACAATTAATCCACTGCGGTGTGTCTCCAAACATTAGCATTGTTCTGGTGCGTCAAACCCCAAAAACGAGTATTGCCTTTTAAATGCTGATATATTAGCCGCTTGAAGCATTCAAATGCACTGAAAAGGAGTTCATAACCTTCTTTCAGCCACTACAAATAATGCCTTTTTGCGACCCTTTTATAATCAATTATCATATGTAATTTTTATAAATAATGCTGATTAAAAGTCTTGTGCTACGTCCCCGAACACATGTAATCAAGTAGAAGAGAACTGTTGGTGGTGCTCGTGCTCCAACGTTCAGTTCGGCTCGACGTCCAGTGCTGCTGCTCCTGTGAACAAAGGTTGTTGTCTTTCTGTAATCACGTGACATTTTCTAGTGGAGGTGCTGGGTAGTGTTGTATGCACTGCAATCAGCAGCAAGGTCCCGACACTAGTCGCGACTTGGAAGAACCAGCTGACCTACGGCGTAGCAGGCGACAACTAGGCCTACCTCCTGAATTCGGACCATCTCCACAACTCGGCAGTACTATGGCTAATGCGGGAACGCAAACCCAAGAGACATCGATGCTGCCTCCTCCATGGTTCTTCAACGCCTCACGAACCCCGAAGCTGTTCCACGGTGACCCTTACGGGGACGTCGACGACTGGCTTGACGACTACAACTGTTGCGGCAGCGTCAACGAGTGGAACGAGCAGTGAAAGCTTTGGTATGTCTACTTTTACCTCGAGTGCTCTGCACGCACTTGGTTCGAGAACCATGAAGCCACTATGACAACCTGGCCAGAGTTTTGTCTCTAACCGAAAGGAGCAAGCGGAACGGCTCCCCAATTCCCGAAATCAGCGTCCGAACGAGAGTATTGCCATGTTCGTGGAGGACATGTCGCGACTGCTCAGGCGCGATGACTCCTCAATGACGGAAGAGAAGAAGGTGCGCCTCCTGATGCGGGGAGTGAAAGAGCATCTGTTCGCTGGACTAGTGCGGAACCCTCCCAGCACTGTACAGGATTTCCTCCGCGAAGCCACGACAATGTAGAGAATGCTAAGGCAGTGTTGGTATCAGTATGACCGTCCTGACAGTCTTTCGTCAGTGTCATCGGCCCTGCCAACACCTGACTTCACGACTATGAGAGTCTTGACGGAGCTCGTGCGCAGTATTGTGCGCGAGGAGTTGCAAAAGCTGCACGTGGTGTCTGCTCAGCCCCATGTTGCTGCTCTAACGGATGTCGTTCGCGAACAGGTCCGGCAGCTGGTGCACCCCATGACGACTCTGCGTCCAACCCGTGACAGCCTCGCGCCCAGCCGAAGCTTTGCTATTAACGTACGCGGAAGCTATTCGTGCTCCTGCACCGGCTGTTGGCTATTCGTCCCGTCCATCCATCCTGCAGACGGCGCCGTTATTCTACTCAGGACCACAGCAATACGGCAACCCACCCCTTACTCGGAAATCCAGTGTATGGCGTGCTCCCGACAACCGGCCTCTCTGTTATTACTATGGTGAACCGGGTCACATCTACCGTGAGTGCGCATACAGGCACATGGGTATTCTTGGCTTTCGTCCGGATGCTCGTCGACCCAGAGATGGTGAGCGGCCCCGTGCTATCGCCGAATACTTGGCAAGCCAGCAATCTTCAACCCTTCTGCGTCTCCAATCCCGCTCACTGTCTCCACGGCGTTCCACGTCACCTGGCCAACAATCAACCTTTGCGGACGTCCTTGCAGGAAGATCGCCTAGATCCACAAGCCCGCGCCGGGGAAACTAAGAACAGTGACCTCTGGGGGGGGGGGAGAGGCCACTGTTGATCGACCGTTACAAGACCCTCCCCCGAACTGCCTGCCGACATCCAACGACATCCTTTGACCGACGTGTACCATCGACGACAAATGTGTCTCTGCTCGCATCTCTGTCCTTGTCGACAACCACCCGATAACCGCTC